AGAAACTTCTCTGAAGAGGAAATGCAAATGGCCAACAGGCATATGAAAAAATGTTCAACATCACTTGTCATCAGGGAAATGCAAATCAAAACTACCATGAGATACCATCTTACACCAGTGAGAATGGCACATATTAAAAAAACTAGCAACAACAAATGTTGGCGAGGTTGTGGAGAAAAAGGAACTCTTGTGCACTGTTGGTGGGAGTGCAAACTGGTCCAACCACTATGGAGAGCTGTGTGGAGATTTCTGGACCTACTAAACATAGAGTTTCCATATGATCCAGCAATTCCACTCCTAGGTATTTACCCAAAGGACACAGAAACATCCATTCCAAAGAACACCTGCACCCCTATGTTTATAGCAGCACTATTTACAATAGCTAAGCTTTGGAAACAGCCCAAATGCCCAAAAATAGATGACTGGATCAAGAAGATGTGGTACATATATACCATGGAATATTACTCAGCATTCAAAAAAGATAAACACATGCAATTTGCAGCAACATGGATGGTGCTGGAAGGGATCATGCTCAGCGAAATAAGCCAAAAAGAAAAAGAAAAATACCGGATGGTCTCACTCATAGCAGGAATCTAGAAAACTTAAATAAGGGATCAGGAAAAAGAATAACTATAAGAAAGTGAAAATCAAAATCAACAAAAAACTATGAACCAGAGACACTTTTTGGGGGTGGGGGCTGGGAGGATTGGGGTCAGAATGGGGCATGTGCAGTTGTATGGGGGAATATAAAAATAAAATTTATTATTTAATAAAAAAATTAAAATAAAACAACTTTGAGATCAAAATATATATGTTGGGCCCCCCTGGTGGCGCAGCAGTTGAGTGCTGGGTTACGAAGCTGCCACAGCCTCTGCAGCACCGATGCGATCCCCGGCTGCTCCCCGGCCACTGGAGGAGGGTCCCACATGGCGCGCAGACCTCTCCTGCCGCCCGCTGCTCCCCTCAGCAGTGTACTTCGGTCCCTCTGCCTGCTCTGCTCCCCGCTCTGGCTCTGGTGAATTCTCTCACCGTCCCGCGCTTCTGACTGTACCCAATGCTTGTATAAATAAATAAATAAATAAATAAATAAATAAATAAATAAATAAATAAATAAAATCTTTAAAATATATATATATATATGTTGTCCTTGTTTTCACAAGTATTAAATTATACACAAAAAAGAAGTAAGCAAGGTCCCCAACAAACAGTATAGTGTATATTCTACTAAATATGTGCTGAATGAATATAGGTGGTAGACAGAAGTGTAATATTAAAAGAGGTGAGAGGGCTTGATTCTGAGAAGGAGGCAGGATGCTAAAGAAGGAAGGTTATAAGCTTTGGCATCAGACAAAAACAAATTGAAGTTATAGCTTTTCTCTTAACTACAGTGAACTTCAGGTTCCTCATCTGCAAGAAGGTTGATAACAAAAATAATCACTTTGTGGACTTACTGAAAGGTTTGAAGAATGTAATTAAAGCCCTAGTATACTACGATGAATTATATTTTAGTTACTGGTACACTTCCTCTTGCTTTCATTCATACCCAGGCTTAACAAGGCTACCCACCCCAAAAGCAGCACTCAACTTCTGGATCTCCACATGAAGGGGAAAGACTGTTCTTTCTAAAAACAACAGCCTTGATTGAGTCCAAAACTTGCTTGGTTCGTGTGTGTGTGTGTGTGTGTGTGTGAGTGTGTAAATGCATCTCGTTCAGAGGGAGCTCTGTCAACATCAGGTCTCTGTCTGTATATATTTGTGCATACAGTTTGTAAAGTGCTTTTTGATTTTTTCCAGACAAAAGATAAACTCATTTAATTTAAAATCATCAGATGGATTGCATTAAATGGAGGGAGAAGCAAAAACGTACACAATATAGTCATTTGTTAAATTAAAACACAATTATTTCTCCTGTTACTTAATTACAAACAGACATAAATACTCTGGATTCTGACATCTCACATCTTAAATTCTGGATCTGCATTTCAACATGTAACGAAGGGAGGGTTGTATTCCAATTTGTGCGTTAAGCAAACCCGAGAGTTACTATTGCATATTGGGACCATAATGACTTCACTAAAACAAGACCTAAACTTTTAATTAACCTGCCAAGACAAATTACAACTCATAGCTCACAGGTAATGATCACAGACAGATGAGACTCAATGCTGGAGACTCTTGGGAAGAAGAAGGGATTATAGCAACCTCAGAATCAGTCTGTTTTTGTATTAAAGAAGAAAAAGGTATTCATTAAACAATCACTGTAGCTTGAAGGAAGACAGACGAGTCAAAAAGGCAGTCAGAGAAGGTGGCAGGAGGAAAAGGATGGGAGAGAATATTAACCACCTCCATTAGGGAGTGCCAGGTGCTGGCTCGCTCTGATGGTCACCATGGGGACAGCAAAATACTATTCCTATTCATTCTCTGGAGAAAGAAAATGGGGCTGAGAGAGGTGACATGACTGACTACAGTCATCAAAGGACATGGGACAGGAGGGACGGGAAAGCAGTGCTCACAAGGCATCTGTTTTCAAAACTTCCTTAGCAGACCACCAGAATCGGGATGGCCTGGGCTCCGGGTCAGCCATCTGAGTCATCATTTCTTGGGAAAAGGCCCAGACATCTGAATTTTAGGATTCCTCTGTGCAACGTTTGAGACTGCTCATGAGATACTACAAGGCCTCGAAATTCAAAAGTGGGCCTGCAAATACATGGTTGGTGTTACCAGGCGCTGCTTTGAAATATAGACTCAAGGGATCTGCCCAGACTAACTGAAGTAGAACTGCACTTTAACAAGATGCCAGGTGGCTCCTAAAACTCTGGGAAGCACCGTATAGATTATCTGCGCTAAGGACACCTCAGGGTTAAGGGAGGTAAAGAGAGGTTTCATCATTTAGGTGAGAAAAGGCGAACCAGAGGACACGCAAAGCCCTCTCCTTAATTATGACAAAACAGGTTAGCGAGCTCTGACAAGCCAAAAGTTGGCAAAGCTACCTAATTGTATCTACATCTTATTTCTCTAAGATGCCTATCCTAATTAAAAGTAGCTTTCTCTGGGGCTTGTATCAATATCCTTTCATGTTTATATTCAGTTATTAAAAATGAAGAATTCTGATTGTGCCAGATCTTCATTCTAAGGAAGCATGGAACTCTGGGACTTCATGAGCCACGCCCATGAGAAGGTGGGCTGGGAGACCATGAAGTTATAACGCAGGCACCACTAAGGACTCCACAACCATGTCCCTAAATTGAAGCCATTGTGTCTGAAAGAGAAAAGACATAGGCTCTGGAGTCTGGCAGACCCCACCGAGTGATGGCCTGGTTGATGGTGAGGACCAGAACTGGCTGCCCAGTGATGGGGTGGGGCTGCCCCACTGTCTTCCAGGTCACCAGTCACTACTGAGCTGCAGCTGCACATTCTAGCATCTTGAGAAACGCAGAGCTGGCAAGCTGGTGTGCAGGGACGAACTGAGCATACTTCTATTCCACCTCAAGAGAAGGTGTTGGGAGAGAAATCTTTGGCAGCTGCCAAGACTGTGGCTGCTGATGTCCTGCCAATAGAAGCCTGCACAGAGGATGGCCACATGCTCATCCTTTGTCAACCTAGCAATGCTGTGCGGCAGGGAATGGCGGAGTTCGGAGAGGCAGAGGAGACTGTCCAATTCCCCGTGCAACAGGCACTTAGAAAACTAGTAAATAAGGGCATCCTCCCCAAACAAGGACAGCATCAAATCACATTTGCTACATCAGAAGGCTGAGGGCCCCTGCCCCATTTTGTCAAGAGTGAACACTGAGGCCACATTTATGGCAGAGGTTTATAAATCATACTCTGTGTTTAATGGAAGGGACTCTGTACCTGGACCCTAAGGGCAAATTAGAGGAAATGGTCTGAAAATGGCTACTGGTGTTAAAAGGAAGAACCGGAATCTTGCAAGAGTTTTAGGAACCATAGTCCGATTCAGCGGTCTTTCTTCAACTCTATTTTCAATGATAGAGAAAACTTCCAGGGAAGGACTGAGCTAGAGGATCTTGAGGTGAACTCGAAGCCACACAGAGCATTTCACTGAAGCAGAAACCCCCTTCCCAAGTGTTCTGGTTAGTGGAGTTTTGTTTTTCTGTTTATTTTCTTGTAGGGGATTTTATCTCCAGGCTGCATCACAGTGCTTTCTAATATAAACTCTGAAAAAATGTGTTCTGACCTGAATCACTGAGACCACCAAGTCTTACAGCACACTGTGGCCATCTAAGCAGAGACAAATTACATGGAATGTGTGGGGAATAAAGAGACATTCTCTGGAACAGGAAGCCAGGGAGCAGACTCTCACAGTCCCTGCTCCAGAGGGACAGCACATACTCAGTGAAATGTCCAGCTCTGTCTCCATCAGAGACCAGGATTTCTCCATTCTCAACAAAACCACAACTTCACATACATCGTTCACCCAGGTTTTGCATGGCTATGCCCACTCTCTTTAGCTTCTTTTCTTATCTCCCAAGGGTGTTCACTCCAAAAGCAAAAATTAAATAGAAAAAAAAATCCCCACCCAAACCCACTAAATCACACATACACAAAAGCAAAAATCCAAGTAAGAAACCAGTGAGTGAAGCAAGCGAAACTATAGAGACAAATATAGATGGAGAGAGAGAGACAAGAAAAGAAATGTTTACTGCTCAATCCAGTTCTTGTCTCGTTGACAGCTCCACCCCTTGGTCTTTAAATGTAGCTGCTGGTTTCCACACCGTGCCAAACAGAGCACCAGAAGGGCAGTGGGCATCAGGCTCCGACGGCTTTTCCGACCCCTCCTGCTATTGCCCCCACTCAGTTCCCTGCTTTTCACTCCCATGGCTTGTCCAGAATGCCCAGGTGGGATGCACTCTGAGGGGCATCCACAACCCTGGGCAAGACATATTCCTTGTCAGTTCCAACCCTAGGATCTCCAATGGGCCGCCCAGGGCCTCCCACTCAAGAGACAATATCCACAGATCCCAGGGGCAAAGCTTCCTTACCAATGGCAGTGGTGAGAAAAGAAACCACTTCGGACTCCTTCCCGTCATTATAAAAGGCCAGGTGCCAGATTCCTGAATCCAAATACTGGATGAAGCCTGTCTCGTGGCTAGAAGGGGAACGACCCCCCGAGACTGGCGCTGGGGTCCCTCCAGGCTCCGTGCCTCCTGGGAGCAGCAGCCTCCTTCCATCCAGCAGCTCCACAAAGTCAAACTAAAGAAGAGAGTGGGCACAGTTAACAGGTGGGTTGGCCTCACCATGGCACCAGACTCCTTCTTTGGGCTTCCCCTGGGAGAACACAAGGAAACACAGCCTGAGACCAGCCAACAGGCAAAAGCCACAGGAAGGTTGATCAATCAACTCCAAATTCTCCCAGGTGCCACTTTTTCATCTTCTTAAAAGTCAAATGATTCTCCTAAGAGTGCAGCAACATGATTGGTTTATTCTTTCAAATTGTTTTGTTTTAATTTTGGTCTATGGGTGGTGAGTCCTCTACTGGCTGGGTTAGTGCCAGGACAACTATGCTTTTCCAAAGGGAGGCACACAATCAAAAAACCCAGCCACAATCAAAAAGTCACACATGTGACAATGGGAATCCCCAAGGACTAGATTGGGATCTCAGCACTGGATGTGCCTTAAACGTGAGTCATGTGCAAATGAAAATCTGATATGTCTTCCTTCCTCTTTCTGTGATCCTTGAGAAACACTCTAGATTCAGGGGATAGTTTGAGGGAAACTAAATTGGTTTAGCTCAAAATTCTATCAGTAATTACATGTTGTGTCAAATACAACTGCTGATTGATCTGTGCTAACTTAAGACTCAAGAGAAGTCAGTCACACGGTGTGATGAACACAGCTAGGTGGTGAGTCCTACTGGTTTGCTAGCAAGCAATTTGAGTACTCATCTGTCCATCCATCCTTAT